GGATTGAATTTGAATATTCGGAACAAGTGGTTACGAACTCATTTCCATCAGATTTCATTGTCATATAATACAAATGAATAAATGCGTTGCCAATAAGGCATTTGGGTTCAAAATCTCGTACAATTTGTAGTCTAAGGACTCTTGAACTTTCCATGAGTGGGTGCTTGACTACCGCGTAGGCGAAACCATGGGACGGAACATAGTGATTCGCGGCAATACCTTTTAAGGATCGTTGGTAGGGTACCACATGTACACCTAATTCTTCTGCAATAGCGGCATCAATAGCAGAGATGTTAGATCCAGTATCAAGAAGGACACGACCTTCTTTTACCAATTCTCTATTCTGCTTACAAAGTCTGAATATAGCGGAAGGCATGTGCATTAAATTGGAATCACCAAGTTGAGAGATGAGGGGAACCTCAGGAATTGAAGACATGGAATACATTATTCCACTGTGTCGGATAGCTTGTTCCATTGGCTCCACAGCAGGCATAGTTGTGATGAGATTTGAAGTGGAAGCAGAGGGATTTGATGGAGTTTGAGTATTTGTAGCTTGAGGATTAGATTGAGCTTGAGCTGCATTATTGGCCATTCTTTTTCGACAGTCTTTGATAAGGTGGCCTGGCTTTTTGCAGTAAGCGCAGGAAATAGTTGAGTTTGAATTAGGATTAGGTGGTCGATTAGAGACTGGTCGAGGAGTGAATTTAGGATCATTTTTCTTAAGAAGAGAGCTAACTGTACTAACTTTAATAGGATTCGTGGTTGTGGAAGGAGTTTTACTTTTATTAAGTAAACGATTTTGTTCATATTCGTAATGCTTACGAATGAGTAAGTTAGTAATCTGAGGAAGATCATCGTTTATTCCTAACGTATTAATTTCAGTTAGAAGGAATTGAGGAAGGTGATTTGAGAGTTCATGAAGAAAGACAGCGTCACTAGTTGGACCTACAGCTTTCATGAGAGCAGTTTTGAGTTTTGCTAAGAACGAGGAAGGATGATCAGAAAGAGAATATTGCATGATTTTTAATTGGAATCTTGCTGAGTACTGCATTTGAGGGGTTTTGATGAGTTTAAGTAAGGCATCAAGATAGGTTTTGTAATCAGTGATACTCTCATCGAGAGTGCGAGAAAGATCATAGAGCTCATGAGCGAATGCTTTTCGAAGGCATCGCAATCTAGTTTCATCATTACATTTTTCCTGAGAAAGTCTTGTGACTTGTCTATTTATCCACTCAACCATATCTTCTCCTTTCTTAAATTCAGGAATGACTGGGTCAGCTCTTAATTCTTGCATGGCAGATAGGAATGTAGTGGGGTCAGGACCTTGAGGGGTGATGTTGATAGGAATTGGCTGAGATACAGTAGGGGTAGTAGGAGGAAGATCAATACGATTTCCATTCAGGGCAAGGACAGAAATGAATTTCTTAAGTAGGCCTAATGATAAGGATAAAGAATAAAGCTCTGGGGCAGTGACATTGAGAACAATATCTTGATCTCGACCTAATCGATTGAGAATGAGATGAATCTCTGACTCACTTAGACCTTTTTGTCTACACTGAGTTACCCAAGTAGGAACAACAAATTCTTTTACCATGTTAACAGGTAATTGTTCAATTTCTTCCTCCGACAGGTCTTCTCCTGAAACCATCAAGTGAGTCTGAACACATTCGTATACTTTCTTTATGGCAAGGCAGGGCATAGATACTCGAACTGACCAGGTAGTAAGCATTTCAGTAGCTTGAGGGAGAGTAAGTTCTTTAAGAATTGGTGTTTCTTGAGAAACCAGAAATCGTCCGGAACGTAACTCCATTACGTTATTAAGATTGAGGGATGATGAAGGTGGAAATATGAAGAATGAGTCTCTTTAGAATTGGAATGCAGTCTTGAATTTCACCGTGGCGAAGAGTCTTTGTAGAATCGTAATTCTTACAGGAATAGAGTTTGTAAAATGTTGGATGGAATTATCTCCGTAGAGATAGACGGATGAGAATTGAATTATCGTGAAGATATTCAAGAAAATCACAGAACACAAGAATTCTCGCAATGTCCGCTGAGGTGAGAATTCTTATAAGAATTTTGAGAAACAGGCAAAGTAGGCACGAACACACGACGATCCTGCCAGAGTCGCCAAGTGTAAGGGTTTTGTTTAGGCTAATCTAACGAAGGAAAGATCGCGCACTTGCTTACACACAAGATAAGAATTCGTATCGAGGATCACCGTGGATCTAAAGCACTATTTTACACTGTTAGAGATTGAATTTAGCTTGAGCTAGTTAGGAACACAATAGGAAAGATTCAACTTAGGCATAAGTAGAATATTGAACTTTAGAAAGTTACTTTATTTAAGATTGAATTTTGACTTCTAATTAGAATGAATGAGAAGAGTTAAAGAAGTGAAGTAAAAAGATACAATGAAATTGAATTTATACTCAGTAAAACAATAGAATAAAATTGGAGGGAACTTCGAGTAAGTAACTCTGGTGTCTGTTTCTTAAGTCTATTCTGGTTAAGTCTCCAGAGAATAGAACTGGTCATTGGTACCATTATGATGGTACAGTTGAAGATAGAGTAACTTATGGTTACTGATAAAGAAAGACACGTGAGTTGTCTTAGCCTTGACATTAACTAAGGGATTAAAAATTGTGAAATTATGACAAGACTTTTGATGAAAAACAGAGCACAAAAAGAAAGAGAAAATTTTGAGTCTTTCCCAATGGCACTAAAAATTGACTTTTTAGCTCTAGCTTTGGCTTAGGAATTTAGATCAGAATCATCTCAGCTTTCAGGATCAGTTTATCATGAATTAGGAATACAATTAAGAAGCATTATTTGAACTTGTGGTTAACCTGAATAAATATTAGCTGAGTTTAAGAAAAGATTTGTTTTAACAATAAGAAAGAGTAAGTTTAAATAAGAAAGTAGAGAGAGGCAATGAATTCAACAGCGTCTAAAGCAGTATCAGAGAGACCAGAATTTTACCCAACACTGTTTTAAGAATATTTCTTTAACGAATCTAACGTCCGAGTTCTACCTTTTTTATCACTCTCCTTGTCTCTATTTACACGAATCCCATCTAAACCTTAGCTCTGAGAAAGTTCTGTGTATTTTTGTAGTTGTATTTACATTATTTTACTGATGCAAAATTTTCTTTAGAACATGTTCCATCCGGCTTTGAATTGAGCGCGAAATTCGATGTTTCGACATTATATTGCATATGCATTAATAATAGGTAAGTGTGACGTTAGACGAAACTCATAATAACATGATATGCAAATCAAACTCTATAATTTTATTTTTTCTAAGAAATTGAATTGAATAGAACAGTGCTAAGACACACCTAGAGCAAGTGATTGATCGAAAGTCTATCCTTATATGGCCAGTTTTATTTATCGATCTGAAAGCATACGTGGATGCGCTCTTCATTTAGCTGATGCTCCCTTTTAAGTTTCTGTATAAATAACGATGCTTTCGTGATTTGTTGCTATTATTTAAATGTAATCTTGACTGCAACGTGATGGATCAAGTAATTACTATCGATGGCCATATTTCTTGTTCTAAACCTATCGGTATATATGCCAAAATGCTTCGATTTGAAGGAAAGAAAAGTAATTTCATACATTTCTCATATTCGTAATGATTTATTTAGTTTTACGTTCTGGTTTACTCGAAAGAAATAAATTAGAATTGTATGAAACTATCTCCCATCGGGCAACTTTAATTTTACATGTACTCTGGCTATTAACTTTACGCTTAAAACGGTCGAAATATGTAGAGTTGATCGACATATTTGAAAGTCAAACTAGATCAAACATCAACAGTTCAAAAATTTATCGTCATTTCGTTAAGGTTCGAAAAACTTTTTATTGTGTTGGCGTCTTTGTAATGTTTTGTGCTATTTTCATTATTATTTACCATCACATATTGACTTTCCGTAATTCCAATGATTATTTCAAACTCGTGAAAAGCTTATGTTTTAGTCTAGTCAATTTGATTGCTTATGTCAGTTATCTGACTTATATACAATTTATTGTGGAATCATGTCTCCACACTCATGGATGCTGGCTAACTGTGAATGAGCACATTCGTTCGCTCAAAAAAATTAAGCGTAATTTATCTAGCAATGGAATTCGTAGAGTTCGTTCAATGTACAGCATTGCTGCTGCAATCACAGAAAAAATGGATTCGTTCCTAAGATTGCCATTATTTTACTTTTGCTCATTAAACATCATTACATATTTCATTTTACTCGTCCAATTTTGGTATAAGCCAAATATATTTGGATTTTTTCGCATCGCAATTCGATTCGTTGACCTGTCATTTGTCATCTGGAATATAATATATATTCATCATCTTTCAACTCAATGTTTCCATGATGTCTATTCACTTGCATATGAGAAGCGCTCATTGCAAGTCAACAATGAGGTAATTCATTTTCTCGTTTACTGCCATTAAACTTAACCATTTTGTTTTTTTCCTTTTTTATTAGATTCATCTTTTTCTCGATCGCATCTCACAATCCAATGTTGGCTTTTCGTTTTTGAAAATTATGCTAATAACACCGACGTTCATCACATCACTCGCTTCTTTAAACCTAACTGTTGCATTATCCTTACCATCACTGGTTTAAGAAAACATTCTTAGCATCGACAATCACACTTTAAAAAGTCATAAATTGGTAAATTAAGCTCGATGTACTCCATTGTTGTTTGATTATTGAGAAAATGGATTCATTTTCATTTCGCTTTAACATTGTATTTTCATGTTTTTTTGTTCAAGTCTGGTAAAAGAAAGTCACGAAAATCTGACGATAGCAGATATTATTTTGTACAGAACTTGCATTATTTACCTGTTATTAAAATGTGTTTAATTGTTCGTTCTTTTAATAAAATCTATTTGCTTGAATTTTCGGTTTCTATTTATATAATATTTGAAAGCTTCCACCTCTGTTGAAGGTGTAAAAGAATCGTGTTTCTTTTTCGTTATTTAGTTTTTGTTCTTACCTGAATGTGAACTGTTAGCAACTTGGTTCAACAGTAGTTGAGTTTCCCCTTTTAGCGTGATATTTACAGAGGCACTTCGAGTGAATGAATTTTTGGCATAAATAGTTAAACTGTGTTCGCTTATATCCTTTAGACCAGCAAGTGAAACTTTGAATCGAGGCAAACGATCCTCCATAAACAGCACCAAGGAACCAGTTTGAATATCATAAACTTCAAGACAATAAACCTCAGGTAATGGGGTTGATACGGACGGATCATTGGAACAAGTAACCAAAATTGAGTGATAAGTATCATTTACCAGGCTACAGTCTTTAGGAGTTTGTGGAGTATCTGTAATTAACAAAAGAAAAAAAGAAATTAATATTTTCGTCTTTTTTTATTGCCAACATCTTCATCTTTTACGTTTCCATTCCAATTACAACAAATTTATCTGCTAATATAAACATTGATTTAATAATTTATACCAAGCCAACACCAAACTCGTCGAGAGTTTATATAATATTCAATGAATAATAATGAGAATAATTAGATAACAGAAACATTATTTTTTCATTAAAAGGCATCAAAATGAAATGAATCAACACTGTAATTGTTGATAAGACGAAACAATCCAAGTAATTCAATAATCAAATAAGTCTACATTCACAGGTCGAATGTAATAATTTATTCAATTTCATGATTAGAATCGCTTCACTTTAAATGAATTCAATTGCAACTGCAAATAATTTATTCAATATTTAGTAACTTTGTTCAGCAAAGAAATGTTGATTTGGTTTTAATCAATAATAGATCGAGTCAAGTTGCAACAATATTCACCTTCAACCCTGAAACTGTTTGCAATGAGATTCTGTTTTCACGGTAATCGATAAATGAACTGAGCATTGATTTGTTTGTTTATTCGCAGCAATTTTCGTGTCGATTGCTTTAACCCCAAGTTTCTTAGCTTAGCGATGGCTTATTGATGCAAAATTAACGCCGATATTTGCATTTATTTTCACTAAATAACTCTAATAATATTAGCAATAAGTTTGAATAGAACTGAATGTAAAATAAAATGAAAAGATAAAATGATGATCGATTGATTACTACAAGTCAAAGTTTCTTCATTTGTTGCAAACTGAATTTAATTGATCAATAAATCCGTTTGCAATTGGATTGCCATTATTATCAATGCATAATAAAACTATCGATTTCAGTTTATTCAAAACACCAAAAATTAAATTTAAACTTTGCATTTGTTTAGGTTATTGTAAAGAAATCAATTTTACATTATGTTTATTTGTACCAAATGGACAATTGCATTGTCACAATAAAGAACTATTTGGATCATTAAAATAACAATCAATCAATTTGGATCATTCATTAAGCTTAAATGTAAGCGATTTCTCTATTCGAAAAGTTCGATTCTCCATTCACTCCCTAATTTTGCAAAAGTCCACATGATTAAGCCTGTGCTCAGTTCAAAGGAGCGAATGGTGACTCAAAAAGGCTGTTTCAGTGCAGAACAAGATTCGTGATAATTTAATAAACACCTTTCCTTTCTATCAAACCTTTCGGATCAATCGAAAAGAATAATGGTTCGACTTTCATCAACTTTCTTTGACATTGCTTCTGTTTTTTGACCACTTCCAGTTCCTATTGATACATTCGGTAAGAAAAATTTCACACTAAATTGAAAGATAAAAGTGTGCAACAGATTTGATCGCTCAATTGGATAAACGAAATGAACCAAATTAATGAAATTAGTGTTGATATTAGTAGAATTTCCAATTCTTCTGGACTTTTATTCTCATTGTTGGTGAGTTCAAACAAACGAATTGGCGTCTCGATTGTCGCATTTTGTGGTATGGTATCCATAATTGGTGGCATCTTCGATTTAAGCATTAGAAACAGTCCAACAGAATCAGAAGCAACTTTGAGTTTGTATAACCCGATTTGGTTAAGAATAAATTGCATCTACCTGGGCGCAACACTTTTATTAATTCTAATTCAACGTTCAAACTATAAGCTCTTCGTCTACAATATTGCATCTCTTGTGCCATCAGAATGTCCTTCAACTAAATACTATGTAACTTGGCAACATGGTGTTTCTAAATTGTTCATAACTGTTTGTCTTATCTATGAACTTGCCTTGACAATTTACTCTTCAGCACAATCAACGAAAGAAACCATGAAAAACAATTCAATTTTGCTAATTGTTTCATCCTACTATTTCAATCTGATTGCTGCATGTAACTTGATAATGGTACTACAGTTAATTATTGAATCATGTATTCATCTCAAATCATCTCTGGTTTTCATCAACCAAACTGTCTCATCGATTCAAGCAGATGACTTGACCATTGAGAAGGTCAGGTCGATCCGATCAACTTACTCTTCAATTATCAAAGTTACTTGTCAGCTCGACTCCTTTTTGGTTTTTTCAATATTCGGCTTTTACCTTTCCGTTTTGTTCAATTGCCATTTACATTTCACCAACTTATTCATCGATAATAAATTGTCCATCATTAATCTTCTCTGTTTTATTAGTGCAATTAGTTATTTAATTTCGGTAACATATCATATTGTCTCAATCAATTACCTTGTAATATATTTTTCTGAACAAATCTATTCACTTTCATTTCTAATCTTTTCAACCGAAATAAATGCCGAGGTAAGTTGAAATTAAACTTTTGAACAACGATGCTGGCAACGAACAGTTGCTTTGAATTGCATAGCAAACATCGTCACCCTTTTGAATGAATGTATTCTTATAATTTACTCTGTGAATCTTTTCTTTTTCATATAATCCAGATCAATCTATTTCTTCAAAGAATATGTCGTTTCGATGTTGGCCTCACATTTGCCAAGCTTTGCATTATTACACCAAGTTTCGTTGCTTCATTTGCCACCGTTTTGCTGTCTATTGCTTTAGCTGCGCCCAGTTTCAGACGCGGTCAATGAAAGTGGAATAAAATATTCTTAAACTCTATTCTTTATTTTTTATGTTTATTCCTTGATTGTTTCAAACTAATATGTTTGAAACAGGGGCTTACAAACTTGCACTACATCGAATCAGTTCCTCACTCAACTTTAGTTTCTTCAAAAATTTCGGTAATGCTCTCGGATCTGAAAGTTTAAATCTATCAATTTCATAGTTACCTCGACTCAATTAAAATTTTATTCAAAATAACGATCGCAATGAATACATCAAATGGAAATGGAATGAATCGCGCTTCAAGTACGGGAATAATTATTCAAGGTCTAATCGCCAAATTATTATTGTAATCATTGCCTATTTATAACAAATCTATTATTTCAAATTAAGTTTATATAGAGCATAATAAAAGCACTTATTTCAGTTTATTCAAAATACCAAAAATTAAATTTAAACTTTGGATTTGTTAAGGTTATTGAAAAGAAATCAATTTTACATTATGTTTATTTGTACCAAATGGACAAATGCATTTATGCATTGTCACAATAAAGAACTAGTTGGATCATTAAAATAGCAATCAATCAATTTGGATCATCCATTAAGCTTAAAATGAGTGGGCAATCGCTCTATGCACTGCTTCGTCAAATTCGATTGCCCTTTTACTTCGCATCTCTGCCCAGCTCATCTAAATTGTCCACAAGACTGAGCATTTACCAAAGCTCAGTACAAAGAGGCAAAACGATATAAGACGCATGAACGTAAGCACAACCTCATTAGACCAAGATTCTTGATACTTTGATAAACACAATTCATGATAACTTTATTCAATTCTGAACCTTTCTAATCAATCGATGAAAATAATCGTTCGACTGTCATCAATTATTAATTTCTTTGACATTTTCTTATTTTTTGGTCACTTCTAGTTTCTTTTGGTGCATTCAGTAAGAAAAAATTTACTCTAAATTGAAGGGTAAAAGTGTTCAACAGATTTGCTCGTTCAATTAAATAAAAAAATGAACCAAATTAACGAAATTAGTGTCGATATTAGTAGAATTTCCAATTCTTCTGGACTTTTATTTTCATTTTTGGTGAGTTTAAATGCGAAAATTGGTGTGCCGATTGTCGCTCTTTTGAGTATTACATCCATAATTGGTGGCATCTTCGATCTAAGCATTACTAATAGTCCAACAGAATCAGAAACAACTTTGAGCGTGTTTAATCCGATTTGGTTGAAAATTTACAGCATCTACCTGGGCACAGTATTGCTGCAGTTTTTGGTTCAACGGTGCAACTATAAGCGCTTCATTTACAATATTGCATCGCTTGTGCCAACAGAATGTCCATCAACTAAATACTATTTAACATGGCAACATGGCACTTCTAAATTGTTCATCACTTGTGGTCTTCTCTTTGAACTTGTCCTTTCAGTTTACACCACTGCACACTTGACAAAGGTAACCATGAAAGACAGTTCGTTGTTGGCCATTGCTTTATCATACTTTTTTCATTTGATTGCTGCATGTAACTGGATAATGGTACTACAGTTAATTATTGAATCATGTATTCATCTCAAATCAACTCTGGTTTTCATCAACCAAATCGTCTCATCAATACAAGCAGATAACTTGACCATTGAGAAGGTCAGGTCGATCCGATCAACTTACTCTTCAATCATCCAAGTTACTAGTCAACTTGACTCCTTTTTGGTCTATTCAATATTCGGCTTTTACCTTTGTATATTGTACAACTGCCATTTACATTTCACCAACTTATTCATCGATAATGAATTGTCCATCTCTAATCTTCTCTGTTTCTTTGGAACATTTAGTTATTTACTTTTCGTAACATATCACATTGTCTCAATCAATTACCTTGTAATTAATTTTTCTGAACAAATCTATTCGCTTTCATTTCTGCTCTTTTCAACCGAAATAAATGCCGAGGTAAGTTGAAAAACATCGATGCAGGCAAAGAACTGTTTGACATGAATTTGCATAATAAACATTGTCACTCTTTCTGAAATGAATTCTGATACTTTACTCTGTTTAACTTTTTATTTTTTGAAAAATTCAGATTAATCTATTTCTTCAAAGAATTTGCCATTTCGATGTTGGCCTCACATTTGCCAAGCTTTGCATTATTACACCAAGTTTCGTTGCTTCATTCGCCACCGTTTTGCTGTCTATTGCTTTAGCTGCTCCAAGTTTCAGACGTGGTCAATAAAAGTCGAATCAAATTTTCCCAATTCTATGGTATATTCTTTTCATGATGCAGCTATAAAATGAAACTCCGTAATATGTCCGAAATTAAATGCTTTAACAATGTTTTATTTTAAGAGAAAACTATTTCTTGATCGAATCGTACAATCAAATGTTGGCTTTTCTCTGATAGCATCGACTTTTGTCACATCATT